CTGATTCCATTTGTAGCATACAGACTTATATGGGATGATGCGCTGGAGTGCATTTTCCCATATGAATTGCTTTGACAACTAAATAAGCCCAATGTTCTGTGTCTTCCAATGCTGGGAGTGGTGCTAGACAATTTGATTCTATGTCTCTTTGCCTTTTGAAATACTTAAGATAATTGTTGAAAGTAAGACCCACTTCCTGTCTGTTTCTTTTATGAACAAATGAGATGTACAATCAAATAATTGGAAGTCAGAGGAAATCTGCTAGAAGACTGCCTGTCAAGGAAAAGAAAGAATTTTCTTTTACAATTTCCATTTTATCTGCCTTTATGCTTATGACATGCAAGGCATTATGGTAGATTTTCTGCCAGAGAAAAGAACTCATGATCCATGGTTATTGCAGTTAAACCCACTGAAAGACACTACCCACAAGTAGGCAACAGGTATGGAGGCAGCTTGGTGGCTTGCTCCTGACAGCACTTTTGTAAATTCCTGTCTTGATACACCACCGTTGCTGTGTTTGCTTTTTCTGAGTACAAGGCTGTGCTTTGATGGGGGTCTGTACATAGCAAATCCAAAGTGAGTTAGAGCATTCATCAGAGCTGATTCATTAAGAGCCATTCACTGAGTGCTCACAACATGCTAGCCTTTGGATAAACTACACCGCTGTACTGCGATTTATCTATTTATTTGCTTGAATATTTAAGCCTATTTTCCCTCTTAAATTTGCTGTTTTCCTTTAAAAGGTGTTGGTTGTTAAATGTTAAAAACAAAAAGATTGGGCCTGATGTGGTGGCACACATCTTTATTCCTAGTGTTTGGAAGGTGGAGATGGGTGGACCTTGACTTAGCATGTTTCAGGACATTCAGGGTTATGTAAAGATTCTGTATCAAAAAGCCAAAACTGAAACCAAATAGTTCAAATAAAGATGTGAAGAAGTTTAAGATAGGAGCTGGGGAGATAACTTAGTTGGTACAGTGTTTGCTGTGCAATCCGTCCTGAAGCCTAGATTTGGATCCCTAACACCCATACAAAAGCCAGCCATGGTGGTGGATATTCATCCGCCAACCCCAGGCCCCACAGTGGCAGATGCATGGTGGAGGCAGAAGGATCATCAGCCAGCCAGCTAGAGCAGTCAGTGAGCTCCAGGTTTAGGTAGAGACTTTTGCCAAACACTAACAGGAAGAGTGACACAGAAAGACACTTGAAGTCAGTCTCTAGCTTTCACATGTACCTGCATGCAAGAACATGTGTACCATATACATATGTGCACATACAAATGAGCAAACATGTATACTTCCTTCACAAAGAATATTTAGATACTGACTTATTAAACAAGAACTAAGTGCATGCACACTTATACGCATATGCTCATGTGGACCAGCTTAGAATGAAGAAAGAAAAATAGATGCCAATATACAGATTTATCTAATTTATCTGGTTTAGGCCTTAACATTTGAATGATGGGAGTTCACTGTCTATGGTGGTGAGAATATCCTCATTATACTCTCCCTTCAGCTTCCCAGCAAGTTCTGTTTCAGTTCTTATTCTTTTAATGTTTTCCCCCGATGCCCTGCTCACTGCTCTTCTCCTGTTCTTCCAGTTCATTATGAGAAAATGGGGAAGTTTTCAGATAAATCTGTTTTCAGATTTTCTGTGGGGGACAGCACTCTAACCTCCACTGGCTCAGCCTTTCATGTTCTCCTCATTGCCAGCAGTGTGTTCTAACTGTACTGCTGCACAGTGTATCTTAAGGACCCAGGCTCCTTCATATCAGTCCACAACACCAATGCAAACAGTGCCTGAGAGCAATTTTAGAAATATCCATAGCATGTTAGTGGAACACTTTTGTCCACTGAGTGTAATGAAATATTTCTCTCCAGCTAATGCTGCCTGATTCTTTAAACTCAAGTCTTCTGAGCTCTCTTTCATGCATTTTTTATTGTAGTTCTGGGCTGAAGTTCTTTGTACTTCTTCTGAAACTATTACAATAATCAACACTAATTGAATACTGAACCATTTAACATTTTATGCAAATGTAAACATATATATTTATATACTTCGATAGAAGACAATACCCAAAAGATACAATCAGTTTGGATGAGAGCATGGTGATATCTTGGACTTCTGGGTTGGAATCCTGAGTTCTGTCCTTTGTGAGAAGAGGGACTCAAGAAGAGTTGACTACTTCTTCATAGCTCAGTCTCCTCTTAGTTTCTATTGGTTTGTGGAGAGATTGCAATTAGCTGTTTAATCATATTACTTTGAAGACAATGAAGAGATGAATAAATTAACCCAAGTCCTTGATGAACCTAATTTTGAACACAATAGATGGATGGGTTTTATGTAGAAAGGAGCTGGCCTTCTGCAGATGTCTAATGGCTCTTGGGGATCCAGGAAGCTAAGCAGAGGCTCCCTTAGTTCAGTGCTATAAAAGAAGTTATAAGTCACTCAGAAGATATATTTTCCTACAGACAAAACTATTGCTACCAAAGGAAAATGGACTTACGTGGAGGGAAAGATTTTGAAGGAAATATGTCTAAAAATATCTATCCCATCTCTTTAAAAAATTGGCTGGAACACCTGGATTTTTCTGAGTATAATTTTAGTTAGGTAAACATTGAAAAGATATATTTTTCTAAAGAAGGAAAGAGTACTTTTATGGAAAATGATGGTTGGCAGTCCTCTTCAGCAGTAGATTCGTTTTGCAAAAATGATTTTCCATGTTTTAAAGAATAAGAAAGTGTGAATGCAGTCAGGGCCAACAACATGGCTGATCTGGTAAAGGTGCCTTCTGCAAAGACTGATGACCTGAGTTCTGTCTCTGGTATCTACATGGCAAAAGGATAGAGACCATATGTGAAGGTAGTTCTCTGACCACCACATGTGGAGGTTGTCATGTAAACACAAACCCATGGCAAGTATTGACAAAATAAGTTAATTAATAAAATAATAAGAACTCAAACACTAATGGTGATTAACATCATTATTGCTTACCTGAAAATATTTCTCTTTCAGTAAGCCTCTTTGTAGGATACCTACTTAAAAAAAGAGACACAGATGCTTAAAAAAGGAAAAGCATTGCAGGTGCTTTTCTATGCAACGCTAAAGTGTTTGTTTTAGTATGTGCACTAAATAAGCACATTAAAAATGTGTCTGGGGTTTATAGCTGTGTGGGATGTGCTTTATTAGGCTTTAAAAACTGGTGAGCTGTCTTAAAAGCATGCAGAACTATATTTGGCATATACCTAAACCAGCTGCCCAGCAAATGGTGCTGACTTTAAGGGGTTGGGTTATGGTGGTCAAATGATCCTTGGAATATTGAATGGGGATTCAGAAGGAAAATTTTGATAAAATTCCCAGAAGAGTTAGAGGGCATCATTTAATAGTTACATAGGCCATTGCTAAACAAGTGCAAAAACAGAAGGACATACTCTAGTCAGAGATCAAGGAAACAGAGAAAAACAAACTATTTGGGGGGAAATGTAGGTATACATACACTCAGCACATGGTAATGTACCCACCAAGTACATGTATGCATCTGAAGAGTATCAGTGGCAGCATTCCTAGAAGATGTTGGTCACCATCTGTAATGTTGGTCAGAATTGCCTGGCATAGCTGACTGTCAGAAAATTGGTGAGATCATCAGAATGTCTTGTGACGCAAAATTAGATTACATAGGATACTTTAAAACACACTGTAGAAAACAGTTGAATTTGGGGAAGGCAATAAAAAGATGTCCTATGTCATTCTTTCCCACCTCTAATAGCTCATGCTTTCATGGGGTTTAAAAATAAAATAAAAGAAAACTATAAAATATAATACTTAGAGAGATGCTGCCAGGGCCTAAATTTACAAGAGCTTATGATCAAACATGAACACATTGAATATTCATGGTTCTTGCTATAGTTTGGATCATAATTCTCCCCGACATTCCCATGTATTAAAGGCATGGTCCCCAGCTCAAGGCACTGCAGGGAGGTACTGGAACTAAGAGGAGGGGTTTGGTAGGAGTTCTTGAGAAATTAGGTCAGGCCCTAGAAAGGATTTTGGACCCTCATCACTCTTCTTCCTATTTTTGGTTCTCAGCTTTCTCTGCTTTCCCACAAGTCCAAAAGCAATGAGGTAAACCGACTAGGGACTGCATTCTGCAAAACTCTTAGCCAGGGTTAAACTGGTTGGAGACTATTTTTCATTATCACCATCATATGTTCATGCTTAATTAGATTAACATTTGTAGCAGAAATGAAATTTTTTTGACTATACTAGACTACAGAGTTGGAATTTAAATCTTAAGTACAAATTTACTGATCATTTCAGTTGGTTGTTGTTTGAGACAGGGTTTCTCTGTGTAAGAGCCCTGTCTGTTTTGGTCAAAAGAAGTGACACTGAACAATGTTTGAATCAATCTTTCTGCCTTTTTTTCTAGTTCTCTGCATTATAACAAGATGCTAAAATCTCTGTAACTTTGTCACATAATCTGAATCGAACTAATGCTTCATTATTGAATCTCATATTTCCTATAGATTTCCTCTATCTTATTTCCAGATAGCTACTACAATACTGAAGTTCAGTACAATTGACTTTATAGCCAGCAAAGTATCAGAATCTGCAGAGCCCAGCTCCAGGGAGAAAACAAGAGTTAGCTCCCTGGGTCTTTAGAAGTATGATGCTGTCTCTCTCTCCTGAAGAGTCAGAGATTCTGCTGGCCACATGCTTGAATGTGATTCCGTGGGAACTGTGGATCCCATGGGTGGAGATGCTTGAGTTGGATGATCTGACATTGGAGCTGTTAGCAGAAGCTGGAAATACTTAGGACAACGTCTGAGTCAGAGGGCTTTGAACTGTGGACTTATTCTAACAGTTGCTTTTAATTAAACCGTCCTGGCCTGCAGGATTCTGGCAAGTCAGCTGTTCAGAAAGCTCCCATTCTTTGGAAATGTTCTGACCTTCCCAAGCTTTTACTCAGCATCTTGGATTTTGTTTTCATTTCCATTTTCAGATTTATAATCGCTTAGATACAAATTGCTGTGGATTCAGACCTCGAAAGGAAGATGCCTGCATACAGAATGGACTGAGGCCAAACTGTGATGACCAAAATTCTGTGACTTTAGCACACATTATCCAGCGAAAGAATGATCCAAGGCATTTGGTCTTCATAAACAATAAGGGCTTCTTTGACAGAAGTGAAGACAACTTAAACTTCAAATTGCTAGAAGGCATCAGAGAGTAAGTATTTTGTTTGTTGTTCAAGTCCCATCTAATTCTTTAGCCTGGACTGGACTGGAATTCTCTGTGTAGCTTAGGCTTTTGTGGAACTCACTGTCTTCCAATGTGACATTGAACTTGCTGTCATCCTCCTGCTTCAGCTTTCAGAGGGCTAGAATTACAGGAAGGAGCTGTTACACCCAGAAGAAAGAGTACATTTTCTAATGAAGTGACTTCTGGGACGATCACATGCATGTTAAACAACTAGTAACATTTCACAAAAACTCACACCTTATGTCAGATAGATTTCCAAAGAAATTGTGAGTATGGGGATAGAGACTCAAGGGGGTAAAATAAGCCTTTAAAATCAGCCAGTCCACATTGCCTACTCAGCTCCCACCACATTCTGCCTTAACCGCCTTGCTCAGCTTTCATTGTGAAAACCCATTGTGGGTGAAGATGGGCAGATCCAGGGATGTCAGGAGTAGGGAATAATTAGGTGGCAGAGGCTCTGTTATTAAGGTACAGGATTGGACATGGGAGGAACAATAGAGATGTCCAAGTCCATAATGAACTATTTGGCATGTCAATAGAACTAATAAGCATGGTAGGATATCAGATTCATGATAAACGACTTCTAGGAGTACAGTGGGAGGTGAGCTCTCTGAAGAGCAGAGCTCCAGAGGACAGTGAGCCCTTTAAGCTGGGTAGGAGGACTTTGGAGTACCTGGAAATCTGTATAGTAGACATAGACTGTGGAGTTGGGACTTGAACAAAGGCTGCAAGAGGTTAGACAATGAAATACTCAATATTGGCCAAAAACTCAGAGGTGACCTAATCAATCTGGGAGACATTTGGTAGGACTTAGAAAGGATAGGAGTAGAGAGGGGCTCGTGTGAAGCTCAAGAAGATACCAAGAAGATAGTGTTGTACTGTAGAAGTAAAAACACAGTTGGTCTCACAACACACCGATCTCATGTATTTGTGGATAGAGGAGGTTCAGATTCCTAAGTAGCAGCAGCTGGTTACAAAGTCTGATTAGTTCTAACCCAGTTATGTAAGTTGTGACTAAATTTCATACCAAGTGGAGCTACCCTTGTTCACTAACCATTTTCTTCAGGAATAAGACTCCCTAATGAGGTTAGATTGGAAGCTCAAGAGTCCATACCATAAGGTAGCGTAGCTCCCCAAGAGTCAAGCTACATCAGGGAAACATGCATATAAGTCTGAAGTTAATGATAGAACTCAACTTTTCCAAGCCTGAACCCACTGTTTTTCCTTGCAGCTACTTGTATTTGTGTTATGATGCTATATTACTCTTACTAGGCTGGCACATGGCTTAGGGTGTTCCATACTCAGAGCTCAAACAAAGGCAAACCCAGAAGAAAACAAGAAACTATAAAACTCACTAATGGTCCTATGTCTGCAGCACATTTCAATTTTTTCCCCTTGACTTTGTACTTAGATAATGTAGATTTTATACACCTTCAATACTGAGAAACACACTCTTCCTGTAAGTTTTGAGAGTTCCCAAGAGGTTTTTGCTAGTACTTCCCCTGTTGATGCTCTTCATAACTCTGTGAATTGAAAGCAGAATACATGGCAGATTCTCCCTTTTAAATGCCTAAGCCAAGGTGAATTTATGTATAGGAAAATTGTCATTCTCAAGATAACACTTACTGAATTGATACTACAGGGACTTAAATTTCTTTGCAGAATTGAGAATGCCAGGGGCATACAACTATCTATCTTAAACATTCACATAAATGTGAATACTTTCATTTATTCTTTTGAAGAAGATTAAACCTTAACTTTATTATGAGGAGTAATGGGTTTAAGGTTAAACCTTCCTTGAATATATAATTCACACATTAAACAGCAAAAGTGAAGTCTTTGTTAGGCTCAGAGTCATTCATTGAATATTTCTACTAACCAGTACAATGTAAAAATAATAGTAGAATAATGGTTTGCTTTCTTTTATGAACAGAACCAGTCACTGAAGAGCCTTGTGGTTTTAATACTTTCATGTCATGCATTCTGCCTCAGCTAAATTAGTTGAAGGGCTATAGAAATTACAGTCTTATGGATATTAATGCTTTATACAACAAAATTCTGCGTGCTTAATTCATAGTCCATAAGATTGCATGGCACATATCTTTAGGGAACCTGGAACACATGATATGCCTTATTTAACTTCACACTTCTGAGACCTAGGGGAGGCCAAGTTAAGGATGTGGCAAAATATAACATATGATTTAAACCAGAAATTTTCTAAAATTTCTGTATATACTGTCTACGCTTTGACCCTGTCTATGCTAGACCCTGACTCTAGTCTTTCTAAATGAAAAGAAGCAAGTTCAGTGAACTCTCTCATGGTGATTTAGCCATATCCTTCTTAAGTGATCTCAGAATGTCCAGTGGGATGTCTTCGAATGTCCTTGTTCTAAAATTTTACTTTTGTTGAATTTATTTGAGAGCAATTGCCAGCGTTCTGTTACTGTAACTAATGTCTGAGGTAATGTCTAATTACAAAACGGGAAGATTTGTCGTGGTTCCCAGCCTTAGAGGTTTCAGTCCATAGCCACCTGGGCTCTGTTTTTTTGCTCCTTTAGTGGTACTAAATGCCACAACATTTTCATTAACCATGTCTGTCCCATTAACAAATTCAATGTAAAACACAATGGTAGAGTAATGGTTTTGTTTTCTTTTATGAACAGCGCTTATCTAGTCAAGGATGGGTAGGTCCTTTTCAGCACATGGCCAAGAATTGGAAGAGGGAAGAGGAGAGGGTGGAGTTCCAGTATCCCTTTCACCACAGGCTCCAATGACCCTACCCTCCACTATGCTTCACCTCCTAAAAGGCTCACTATCTCCCAGTCATAGTATTCCAAGGACTAACTTTTTAATACTTGAACATCTCAGGGGACCTTCAAGATATAAACTAGAGCAGCATTTAATACTCTACTTAAGAAAAACACTGGTCTTTCCCCCATCCATTCTGTCATGACTATTGTTATTGTTCTTACTCAGCTCATATCATGTTGCTGAGACCTTTTGGGTACAAACTCCCTGATCTTCTGGGCCTTGTAATCTTTTCATTCTAACACTTCCTGAACCTTAGGTGTTGTTTTATAGATAATCCATTAGGACTGGGCTACACAACTCTATGATGCCTCAACCCTACACAAGGAACTGCAGGCAACGAAGGGATGCCAAGAACCAGAGAAACAGTCTTATCCAGGGAAGAGTGCACCGATTGGTTATCCAGAACCAAATAGTCAGTCTTGAAAACATACACACAAGTAACAGTATCCAGACTAGGCAAATCTTATTTAAGAATATATGTGTATGTATATACACATATAATTTATTGTAGTGACAATGAAAAAGAGGCTATGAATTTGAAAGAGATCAAGGAGGGATACATGAGGGGATTTGAAGGGAGGAAAGGGAAGGGGCAGATAATTATATTATCATCTCAAAAATAATTAAAAAAAGGAAAACACTGGCAATCACTCAAATTCCAAAGGTATAACCTGAATCAGAGAGAATCCTTCCTCTAATTGAGTTTTTTAAAAAATAATTTCTCTTTTGTTCTATTACAAGTTTGAGATCACTGCACTTTAAAGTCTAAGTTTTGCTCAGGGAGGCTACTCCATTGAAACCACACATGTTCTGGTTCCCACATTTTCTTTCATCAAACCTCACCTTGTTACTGATGACAGCAAAGAAAAGGCTTCTGTGCGATGCATGGAGCTTAAGATGAAGGGAAATGCTTCTTCAGACCTAATGTGATCTTAATTTTGTGCCTCTCTTTGTCAGTCTGTAACAAGCTTTAAGTAAAAAATTAGGATATCACGTTCTGAATGGTTTAGATAATTTGGTTCATTTCAAACACATTTCCTTGCATTTTATTTTTAGGAGAAGTGTCTGCTTGTCAGTGACAAAAACATTTGGTTCTCAAGGTCCTATTTGATAGTGTGATTTATGCCAGATTAATGAAGGCAGACCAACTAGGGGAAGGAATAATACTTCTGAGCATTTGCTAAAGAATGAAATATTGTGTTACCATTTCAGGTTTCCCGACTCTGCAGTTTCAGTTTTGAAGAGCCAGCACTTACGACAGAAGCTCCTTCAGTCTCTGTTCCTTGATAAGGTTTACTGGGAAAGTCAAGGAGGCAGGCAAGGCATCGAGAAGCTCATTGATGTGGTAGAGCAGAGAGCCAGAATCCTTGTCACTTACATCAATGCACATGGTGTCAAAGTATTACCTATGAACGAATGACATAGGGCTTCCTGCCTCAAGGGCTATACATGTGTGACTTTTTTTGCTTTTCTTAAGAAAGTATATGAACCTTAAGTGTTTCTAGGAGTGAGGCAGCATAGTTGACTACACAAAACTGACCCAATATATATCATGAACTGAGCTTAAAAAGTTTGCAGAGTTTAAAGATATGCAGATTCAAGAAGTATTGGAATAACATATTGTTTGCAAAATGCCCAATGATATTTTTTGCCTAACACTCTGGCATGTGTATCTCAGCATTGTTATTACACGTTGGTCCCAATTATTATTCCCACTAATGTTAAAACCATTTTCATGCCATTTGATGGAGTGATATAAACCAGAGGCATTGACTCTTCTCAGAAACTGTTGTCATGTCATTTGACCGATTGGCCAGCTCCTAGCAGAGAGTTAATTGACATTTTCCTGATGCTGATCATTACAATAGTTTTTCCAACCCTATTCAGAAGCAATCCCACACCAGCAAATTGGGCATGGGGGTGTGAAAGCAGCAGAGCCTTGAAACAGCTTCTAAGTAGACATGGCAGTAGATTCATTTACAAACAACCAGTGTATTTTCTAGTCTATAAACAAGCAGCTATCTCTGATCAACCAAAATCTCATGTCTATTCCTTTTAAGAAATTTACTGTCGGCATGGAAATATCCATATGTAACAATGGATTATTAGTTTGCTCTGTTAATTTTGATTCAATTTATGTCTGGTGATAAGAAAACTAAATAGTTATAAGGCATGATGTTACCTATTTGAATTTTTTTGTGGAATCTGTTAATGTTCTTATGGGTTGGTTGGTTGGTTGGTTGGTTGGTTGGCTTTTTAAAAAAATTATAAGATCTCATATAGTCCAGGCTGGCTTTGAACTCCTTATGTATCTGAGGATCGCCTTGGCCTTCTGATGCTCATCTCCCAAGTGTTGGGATTACAAATGAGTGCCACCATGCCCAGAAGTGCTTGAGCTCAAACTCAGGGCTTCATTCATGCTAGATAGGTGCTATATGATTAAGCCCATAACCCTAGCCCCCTTTAAATGACTGTTTAGCAAATTGTCATTTTATAAAGGATATGCTATAATTTCTGTAGTTTTTTTAATTATAGAAAACTTCTTTTGTGTAATTAGGTTTCATCTGATTTCACTGTTGTTATCTAGGCATTGATGACAAGTTCAGATAGTAAATATATTATGTAGATCAATTCAATATGAGAAGTTTCAATGAAACCCAAACCACATGACTGTATCTTTTCAAGAAAAGCATATGACTAGAGAACATGTGGCAAGAAATTGGGGCAAAATTAAGTCTCAAATAATTCTCTCCCAAATCCCTCTACCAACTATTTAGATGGATTGGAAGGATTAAGACTTACAATGTTCATGCTCTGAATCTTCCTGTCCTTGGGAAATCTGCAAGGTTGTCCCATATTCTACTTATATGGAGGCTTCGAATCTAGAACAAATTATTTCTCTCTCACATTGAGCTCTCTTACCTTATTTACAAGCGGATTGATTAGCCAGATGTGGAGATGTATACCTGAATTCCCAGCTCCCAGGAAGCTGTAGAAGGATTGCAAGTTTGAGGTCAGTCTGGTCTACATAGTGATATCCTGTCTGAAATGTACCCCTCCCTTCATAAAAGCTGATTTACTGACTTTTTCGTTCTTTGGAAACTTAAAAATAAAAAAGTTACAAATTTTTATCGTATTTGTTTTGTCTTCTCTTTTTTTCCAGTTGTTCCTAACATGCACAGCATTTTCTGTATTCTGACAAAGAATAATTGAATACAGTGTGAACTGAAAAAAAAAAAAGAACAGCAATCCAGGCAACATCATAGAAGGAAAGCATTTATATAGATTCTAATGGAGGGTACAAACAAACCAAGTTACGATAATAGTATTCTAACTATAACAAAAGGCAGACCAAGGGGACAGGCAGCCTCTGACACTCCTATTTCTGCTTTTCAAGGCTCGTGTCCAAGCACTGCATTTATCATCATATGTGTTTCCTTTCCCTTGGAGTGTTGACCTTTGTCCCCTTCTCTTGAGTCCCCCCACTGTAACCTGAGTGTAATTCTGACCCTGGTGAGTCCCCGTGTTGGCTTCTGTCTATGAGTTTTATCTCTTTAATCATCATCTTAATTATCTTTGCAAACACCTGTACATCCCTTCTCAACTTTTAATTAAAAGAGTTTCTGCCAAATTGTCTTATGCCTTATCAAGATGACCTACATTCATTTTAATAATTTTTATTTTTAGGAGATTTACCATTTTGATCCATACTGTGCTATCAATTTCAGGTACTTCCTTTCATGTGTCTCAAACTACATTGCCACTGGGCAGGCTGCTCTTCCAAAAGTGGGTGGGACTGTACTTTGCCTAGTTATTTCAACATGCTTAATACTAAACAGAAGGCTCAAGAACACTAATTATATAGCTTACCTTTTAATGATTTATTTTTACTTTTTATCTGTGTTTTGCATGTGTATATACATGCATATGCATGCAGTACTCATGCAAGCCAAAAGAGGGCATGGTAGACTTTGGAGCTACCTGACTTGGGTTCTAGGAACTGAACCAAGTCCTTTGGAAGAGCAATGAGTGCCCTTTACAGCTGAGCATCTCACCAGCCCTTACAGTGACTAATTAATGGTGCATTAGTTTTGGGTAATAGCTGCAAGCCAATCTTTGAATTCTAATAGGTAACATTCTTACTTTATTAAAATGATGGGAATGTTCTTTGCATTTCAGATGTGCTCAAATGCTACCATGATTTGGTTGGCATTAGCCCATTATGTAGTTTTTTTGTTCTGTTGTAACAGTTTTAAAATAGAAGAATTTACCTTAGCTCACATACAAGAGCTTATTCTCCTGTGACGTGTTTCTTTTTAGCAGATATGAAAATGCACATGTATCTTACATTCTGTAATAAAATGTTAGAAATTAAAGTTGTGGGTTTTTTGAGTGTGTGTGTATACAAATGAGTTTTCAAAGGCTATCTACGGCAACCTCTGCCCCCTCCTTTGGAACAGTTCACTCCAGTCTCTCTCTGCTTTATGTTGTCCTTCATTAGGATGACCAAATATTCTATTTAAACTGGTTAACAGAACAAACAATTGTTGGGAGGAATGTGAAAAAAGAGACAAGTGAAGAAAGAGACAATTTAATGGCCAAGATGTCTGCCCGGATCACGTGCTCATGCATTTGATGTCAAATTCATGATCACGATGCTTTCTTTCTATTAGTGTTCATAAGCACTGCATTATAGGGTTGGTAAAAAATATCAGTTAACAGACACCATGCATCTTAGGAAGAGATTTAATATTTGGTTAATTTTCCATGGTTGGTATGAGACTTACAGTATGTTTAAAGTCTCCCTCCTATTATTTATATTTAATAAATTTGTTAAGTTACATCAAAATGTAAAATATCCTAGGCTTATTCTTAAAATATTTATATCTCTGGACTTGAATAATAATGTGCTTATTCTACTATATTTTTAAATATGCATTACATTAAATGTAATTAATAAAATATCTAGATAGAAATTTATTTGCACATTGTCTTATGAAATGCTAATGTCTATTTGAACACCGACTTAGGTAAATCACATTTAATGTACTAGTAATATACTGAAATTATATATATACCAAATGTAAATTAATTTTATATATTTTTGGAAAAATTAAGAATATAGTCAAGAATCAAGCTAGGGGAGTCCAAGGTATTCAGTAGCCTGTAGCACCAGGATGGTTTGAGTCCAAGCCCTTAAAGTCATCCCACTGGAGGACATAGTGATCACCTTGGGTGCTGTTACCAAGGTTGACTACTCTCCAGTGATGTTTTTTATAGAAGGAATGGTGACATGAACTTGGAATCTCAGTATTTAAGAGTTGAATAGGAGTCACTTCAACTTTGAACTAGCCTGGACTACAGTGAGACCCTATTTCAAAAACAAATGAAGAACAAAACAGAGCATAAAAATATAAGAACTCTCATTTTGTGAGAGAGATTTTGACTTGTCAGAAAAACTTACCTGAAATTTGGAAATAGCCTGATGTGATTTTGGCATATTCTTACAATTGTTGGGCTTAATTTTCTACTGAATGACTATTGAGCAGGGTTTGACTCAATAGGTTACTGTGTAGATTCCTCTTCCATAGAAATACAATTTTTTTTTTTTGGTGGGAGAAACAACCTTAATAGGTAAAATTTATTACCACGTTGTATACTAACTGGTTTTATATCTACTCCAACTATCATATAACATGGCATATAAAGATTTAGCTTTGGAAGTATTTTTAAATGAATTTATCATTGTAGTAATGCTATAATTATTTTAATAGAGTCCTTTATACATATTTGCATTTATAATCTCCTAAGAATCCATTTTATCTTTTGGAAAATTTTGCTTTAATAAACTGCTAACTACTATTGTATACTTTTATCTGTTTGAAAGTTAATATTTTAATTTTTTGAAAAGTTCACTTAACCAAACATTTAAGGCATACTGATAAAATTTTATAACTGAATGGTCTCATGGATTTAGCATTTATCCAACTCTTACCATAGGAATAAACATTTAATGAAATAAAGTGACTTAATTTGCTCCATTTTAGGCAAATGGTTGGTCTAGATTCCTCACTATTCTAATATGGAAAGAGTCAGAATGCCAGTAAATGTCATTGTACAAATACATAACAAGGAATCTCAATTTACAGACCCTGAGTATCTGTGGGTCTGAGAGTCCACTGAAGTTATGGGCAGAACTATTGAATAGGCTACTTTCAGTAGCTCCGCAAAGTGATCCAGAGACCAAAACTTTTAAACACTAGTGTTATAATACAGAACGCAAGTGAAGAAAGTTTTTACTAGCATTCAATGATTCTGTCTATAATTTCAGTGGACTCTCAGATCCATAGATACCCAATTATGGATGGTCTACAGTCTTCGAGGGTTAAATGCTTGCTCTGAATCAAAATAAAGAGGGTAAGACATTATATTGCATATAATAAGAAAGATCATAACTTAATAGAGGAAAATAATTACTTACATACAAAATTAGAAACATGGATTTTTGGAAGAAATAGTTTACAAACCGTTTTATTCACAAATGAAAGCTGAAGAACCATTTATTATTAGTAAGTCTTAAATATTTTTAGTCCACACCGTCAGTTCCCAATCCACTGACACCAATTGTAAAATGTCATTTGCATTTATTTACTCCTTTAATTTATTAAATTCCATTTCCTGATTTATTTGCTCTTATTTAAAACAAAACAAAACATGGCCTATTTTGGAGTAGGAAAGAAGCTAAGTTAATGTGTGGTATTAAGATAAGCTATTTGATTATTACTCAATAGTTTACTGAACATTAGTAATGTTCCAACATTAATAAAAATGTCCTAAACAAATTAAAGAACGTTTGCCAATGGAGTTATTTCTTTGACGTTGCAAAACGTTTTAAGGCCATGTGACCTGCGCCTTTGACTTTCAGAGTCATTGGGCTTCATGCCTCTGTCACCTTTGCCCCGTCCCTGTTTACAAACAGCTGCCTTATGTCAGAATATGGCATCTTCCCTACTTTTTAAGCTCTTTAGTCCTCTGGGATGGGGCTCTGCTGTAAGAAAGACCTGACTCAGAGTTGCTGGCAGTCTGTTGCAGAGCCTAAAATGCACATGCTGAGTGAATGAACCACCGAGATCCTTCCCTGTCACACACTTCCCTGTGTGTGATCAATGCAACAGTTCTTTGCATTGTGGGAAGGTTGGGTACCTCTCTACCATCCCTTCTAAAATGCACTTACTTTGATAAAAGGATATGAAATTATGGGTGCATTAAGTAATCTGTATTTCTTAAGAATACTCTTCAGGACTTTGTAAAGCTTTGTGACACAAAGCTAAAAACTGAAGCCAGCCTCCCAGTTCCAGCTCTCATTCTGTGTGCAGAATAGCAGGCTGGCACTCTAGTTCAGCAGACAAGATGGGGCTCTGAGACAGGAACTGGTCTATAACCCAGACTGAAAGTTGAGAGTTTGTAGGTCTGCCAACAGTTTCTTTAGATCCAAGACAACAGACATTTATTTGGTTTAAAAATTGCCATATATTATTGGCTGAACTTCCATTTAAGAGAGTAAGACACTTGGTTGTTAATCTCAGGAGTATTAAACATTGAGGTCAATGTATTATTTTTGTTTGTTTTTTTTAGTCTTTGAAGCATTTTAATAACAACAAAATATATCTAGATATTCTTTCTAAATTGATGAGAATATGTTATGATTAAGCTTGTAAGTCTCAGATAATTTTATGGAGAGGAAAGGAATAATTTATAGCTTTCTCCATGAGGGACTCAATATTAATCTCTTTTAATCAGTTAACATGACAGTTAAAATGTAAGACAGTGTTCTGGCAGCTATTGTGACAATACTAATTGTTTGCTAGTATTGTGATATTCCTGTCTTATTCTCTTGTGCCACTTCCTTTGTTATGGGGACAACAAAAGCATTGTCTCCTGTGAGAGGGAGGTGGTGTGTTTTAACAGGAGTGGCATGGCACAATCCAGACTAGCAAGTCTCCAATTAAAGTCAGAACTTCCTAGTTAAATCTCAACTGTATTGTGTTTTTTCTGAACTGGAGACATTTTAAACCTGAGGGCACTTGTTGTGGCAGCTGTTAAGTGCAGTGCAGGTGGTTTAGTGGGGCAAATACT